CTCTAAGAATCTTGAGTAAACATCTTAAAGTATCAGATTTTATTTGTACTTGAGCATCAAAAGTAAATTTCTGACATAAAATCTACTTAAGGATTAAAAGTAAAAGTATTGAGTAAAAATGAGCTGTTAGATTTTCCAAACTACATTTATTTGGAGGTGACTTCTCTAAAAGAAATTTGTTTTCTAAAAACATGCAACTGTGATGGATTGTGTACAAATTAATACAGTATCTTAATATTTATACTTCTAATCCAACTACAATTAAATTACTCTTATCCTGGATACACATTTTTAGGATAATATTTTTTAACACTAACAATCTGAAACAAAATAGGAGAAATGACTTTCTACTGCTTTTTTTTTAAAAAATGTAAGGAGTTGAAAGTACCGACAGCTGTGTGTATTTAAAAAAAGGTAGGCTGAATAATTGAATACTAAATAATAATTGCTCAAGTACAGATACTCAAAATTTCTACTTTGTACAAAAACAAAGTATTTGTACTTGTTACTTTAAAGCTCTGAAAACTAAAACTGTGTTTGCAGACTTTGATGAATGTTCTTCATCTTTTCCACCGTGTTCACATCACTGCACAAACACCATCGGATCGTATTATTGCAGCTGCAAGGAGGGTTTCAAACTGGATGAAAAGTCTAAATGTCTGGCTTCAGGTAAGGTTCTTCTTAAACCAATAAAACATGTGATGTACATGTAAATTTTTATGCCATGTTTTTAAATCAAAGTATTGTTAGATTAAGATTTTGACACATGTCAAGATGCATGGTTGTTGTAAGGTGGTTTACTTCAGAAGTCGTATTTGAATTGTGGCTTTGATGTGAATAGGTTAAAGACAAAAGCAAGAAACTAAAGATCAGACAGAAGAGATGACAAACTGGACTGAAACTTGTAACTTAAAAAAATAAACTCCCTCTCACACACTTGTGAACCTAGAGGAATGCAAATCAGTGCTGAACATTTTTACCATTTGAAACTTATTTAACATATATCCAGCTATTCCCAAATGTTTTTTGTTGTGATGAATAATGAAAAGATTTGTGTGAAGAACAATGACTATCAACTTTTCAGACCATTCCCATGCACTTAAAATTTAAACTTGAAACAAAACTACAAAACAAGATGTCATTTAAAAAATAATTCAAATATATTTACACAATCCTGTTTTTGAATCTTGCAGGCAATGCAACCCGGTTGCTGACGGTGCAGAACAAGATGTCATTTTAAAAATAATTCAAATATATTTACACAATCCTGTTTTTGAATCTTGCAGGCAATGCAACCCGGTTGCTGACGGTGCAGAAGGACTCATTGGGCCTGCTGAATATCAAATCTCAGCTCTTTGAGATGAAGACTTCAGTCATCGACCCGGTGGCCTTTACATTTGACATTACCAGAGGATGGTTCTACTGGGCTGACAGTCGAGGCAGCATTCATAAAAGTAATGAAGACAACAGCTGGATAACCTTTTCAGGTCGGTTAGCTCGTTTTTAAATGCACTCGACCACTGAAGGCTGTATTTTTACACTTTCAAGTTGTAATTCAAATCTAGTTCTTAAAGTTCATTAAATATTTTTAAAAAATGTTTTTAACAGGAGATCCTGGAATCAAAGGGCTAGCGTGTGATTGGCTAAATGGATACCTGTTTTGGACCAATCAGAAGACTGAATCAATCTACATGCAGTCAGCTGATGGGACTGKTTACACAACTGTGTTGCATAAAAATGTCCGACCTTCAGAACTGGTGCTCCTGCCAACTGAGAGGTTTGTTAAACTGTTCTGAGAAATTTCATTAAAAAAAAACTACAGGAAAATTGTCTGTCATGGTGATAACCAAAGATGAGATCAAAAGTGTTTTGTCTTATTTGCCTCTTAGCTTGATGTTCTGGATGAATGAGGGTCCAGGTGACAGAGCGACACTGGAGAAGTCCTGGATGGATGGGTCTGACAGAAGCACCCTGACCGTCATCACAGCCCAGTTTGCTCACAGTCTCGCACTTGATGTCGCCGCCAGGAGGCTTTACTGGATCAACAAATCAAAAAGGGTGAGTTTGGACAGAACTGGTCAGTTTATCAAACCTCTGCATCAGTTAATAAATAAGCTTGAATTTTTCTCAGTCTGTAGAGTCGGTGAAAGTGGACGGGACTGGCCGGCACACCTTCACAGGACTCTTCAAACGTAGACCTGCTCTGAGCCTCGCTGTCTTTGAAAGTATGTTCTACTGGGTCGACGACAAAGGACTGTGGCAAGTTCCACAAACCCACTTGGGTCGAAAGAAGTTTCTTGTGAAAACGGAGCTGCCACTATTAGCAGTTTACCATGAACTCCAACAACCTAAAGGTACTTTCGTTTTAATGTTGGTCTGCAAAAAACTGATTTGTAAAATTTATCAGTTTTTGTAGTAATCTCATATTAACAATGAAAGCAAAATAGTAAAGACATGCTGTGAAAATACTGGACTTTGGCAATCTGTGTGAACTGATTTAATCTTGGTTCTCATTGTTTTATTGTCTCAGGTTCTTCTGTTTGTGCGAGTATGTCCTGCCTCCTCTGCCTGCTGACTAAAAGCAACCCTGCTGGATTCACCTGTGTTTGTCCGTATTACAAAGTGCTGCTTCCTGATGGAACGTGTGAATGTAGGTTTAGCTGCCTCTTGGTTCAAAAGTTGCTACAATATTTTAATCTGATCCTGTTGGTATGTGCATGCCCTCTCCTCCTAGATGAGACAGTTGAGTTGAGTTGAATCCACCAAAAAACATGGAAACTTGAGACAAATTAACCTGACAAATCTTCAATTTAAGAACATTTCTTAGAAATAGTGTAAAGTTTATTCATTAGTCTAATGCATTGTGTGTGTAGCAATACAGTTTTGTTGTAAAGTGTGCATTTTGTTTCACAGATCCAAGATTCTTATATGCAACCATAACAAAGATCAACTTACTGGAGTTTCAAGGCAGTGACTCGACTGAAACACAGCTGTTTACCTCAGACGAGGGAATCCTGTCCTTTGATGTGGACTGGTACAGAGACGGACTGTACTGGACCAACCGAACTGGCCACCTCCAGCGCACCAGTCTGACCCAAAACAAGGTGGAGCTTATTCCAACACCTTTACCAGGTAGCACTTTATTTCATGGGTTTTAGAAAACTCTTAATTCTTTTTACATAATTAGAATAAGCCTTTTCTTAACATGTTAATTATGTTTTTAGTTTGTTTGATAAATGTAGACCAGAGGACAGCAAACCTTTTTTGGGTGTCATGTGACCAAAAAATCATTGGCACCACCACGATTGGCAGCAACAACCCACAGCAGCTGTACCGCACCACGAAGGAGATCAGCAGTTTCTATCTGGACTGGCTGAGGGGTGGGATGTTCTGGCTGGAGGAGGAGAGAATCTTCGGCATGGACCTGATGGAGGGTAAAGCTAAGGAGCTGCTGCAACTGGCAGGAGGTGTCAGTGGGAACATCGCTTTTGACCTCAGGGCCAGCAGTCTTCTCTGGAACTCTAAAAGGGCAGGTTGGTTCGGTTTGTAAACCAGTCGGGTTGATTTAAAGGTTAATGTGCTTTCTGATCAAACATGCACAAATCCTAGACTGTAGATTTTAATCAGTTCAAAACTATAATGAGATCTTGTTTTTTAACATATTGAACAAGTCTGTTTTTGAAGGATTAAATGGATTAACTAACTGAGGCTGTACTATTTACCAAAGCTCTTCTCACAGCAATCAAAACCCATTGACTTCACTCATTCTACACTTCTCATTTACTTTAAATTCCAGTACCTTATCTTAATGGCAGGTTTTAATGCCACAGATCCGTTTGAGCTTTGATTGATGCACTTTTTTCCCCCCCAGGCCTGACTGCTCTGAGTTTACTGAAGGAGAGAAGCCACCAAGCAGGAAGGAGGTGGAATATTTCAGGCTCAGTCGTAGCTGCCTTTGAACCCTTCTTGTTGTGTGTTTCTGATGATGTGATCACTCTGTGGGATCGCCGCGACGGGAGCAAAATTCAATCCGTGACACTGAAAGATCGTGTGCTGGGTGTGATCGCTGCACTCGGGAACATTCAAATGGGTCAGTTTAAGTTGCAGAAGTGCTCCTTGATTTGGATATAGTTATTTTTTTATATTATAAATGGATTGCATTGCAATTTGAGTAATCAAATATTTTAAACTACATGTCATAATTTCCTTATTAAATCCATTTAGTGCCTCATACTCCAGCCTGTAATGCACCATCAATGTTGTGTCGACATTCCTCAATCTGCCTCCCACAAAATCAGCTCTGTGATGGGAACAGGGACTGCCCAGAAGGAGAGGACGAAGAGTTCTGTGTTGCCACATGTTCAACTGAAGGTAGAATTTCAATTTGTTACGTTTCAAAATGTCCGCTCTGAAATATGTGGGAGTACATGTTTTCACTTCTAACGAATGTCGATTTTGAAAGAGTTTAAGTGCAAGGACCGAAGGAGCTGCATTCCCAGAAGCCTCGTCTGCGACGGCCGCTCTCACTGTCACGATGCTTCTGATGAAGTCGGCTGTCCAACAGAAGCAGCTCCTGTAACTAAAGAGAACGTCCTGAAGTGCCGCAGCGGCTCAGTGATGTGTGAAGATGGCACAGAGTGTGTGTTATACAGCCATGTGTGTGACGGAGAGATGGACTGTAAAGATGGATCTGATGAAGTGGGATGTGGTGAGTGCTTGTTTATTTGTTAATTTATTTATTTTACATTTTAACTCTACAAACACGTTTCCATTTTTCAGACAAATTTCGAGAAATGAGTTCTACAAATGTTGATGGATCATCTGATGAAGAAGCTGTAAGAGGCTGCCACAGTCCCTCTGTCCTCTGCCCTTCTGCACATGTTTGCATTTCTCAGAGTCAGTTTTGTAACGGCATAAAGGACTGTCCTGATGGCTTTGATGAGAGGAGCTGTGTGAAAAGTTGTCCCTCTCAAAGTAAGTCTTTTGAATAATTTTTCAAAAGTATATCTAATTTCCCCAATATATTCTAGAGTAAATTAGATCTGACTCACTCCTCTGAAATTAAATCTCTTCATTCAAATATTTTTCTTCCCCAGCTGATTTTCACTGTAAAGACCGTCGGAACTGTGTCCCAAAGAGTTTTGTTTGTGACGGTATCTCTCATTGCCACGATGGCTCAGATGAAGTGGACTGTCCGACTGCTCCTCAAAGAAACATGAAATGTCGATTTGGCTCCAGGCTGTGTCGAGACGGGACAGCATGCGTCCAGTTGAGCCATGTCTGTGATGGAGAGAAGGACTGTCAGGATGGATCGGATGAACAAGGATGTGGGGATAGTGGTAAATGGCTATTTTGAATCAAATTCAGTAATGTGGTGTTAATCCTCCCTACTCATTCAAAATTAATGCAACAAAAATGTACATTTAAGGTTTTGCAATATTGATGTGCACAATGTTGCGTGTTATGCGTCCAGATTTTTCATCTCTTCTGGCTCTGTATTCCTAGAACCTGCAGAGATGACAACCGTCCCTTCCACCAGCCCACCATGCACCAGCCCCTCAGTTCTCTGTACTGGCTCTTCTGTTTGCATCAAGCCAACGCAAATGTGTGATGGAAGGAAAGACTGTCCTGATGGTTCTGATGAGAAATGTGTCAAAAAATGTGTCTCTAAAAGTTAGTTTTTTAACATACAAGCAGCTATAAATGATTTCAAACTGTTGAGCTGCTCTGGATAATTTGTTGTTGATGTTTCACACTTTATAGCTGACTTCCGCTGCAAAGACCGTCTGCGCTGCATCCCAAAGAGCCAAGTTTGCGATGGCCGCTCTCACTGCAACGATGGCTCAGATGAAGTGAACTGTCAGAGTGTGGCACCGTCTCAGGAAATTCCATCTAAAGTCATGAAATGTCGTTTTGGCTCCAGGCCATGTCAGGACGGGACGGCATGTGTCCCACTGAGTCACATCTGCGACGGCGAGAGAGATTGTCAGGACGGGTCAGATGAAAAAGGATGCGGTGAGTATCTTTCCAATGATTGCCGTCACACAAGCACATCTTGTTGCTCATAATTTGAACCTTGCCGGTTCATGTTGCAGAAAGTGGGACCACCATTACTGTTCAAAATGAATACAAAAATGGCTCTCCTGCCGAAGCAGTAACTCAGCCTCCCACCACTCCACCATGCACCAGCCCCTCAGTTCTCTGTCCTGGATCCTCTGTTTGCATCAAACCATCACAGATGTGTGACAAAAGGAGAGACTGCCCTGATGGGTTTGATGAGAAATGTGTCAAAAGATGTCCATCTCGGAGTAAGTAGTTTAGTTCTATTCACAGCTGCAGAGTTCCTTTTTAAAATACTTTCTCACAGCAGTGGTCAGGCATGATTTCTGTTCTAGAACACTCAATCTCTAAAAGTTCAGTAAAGCTTGTATGGGTAAATCCTGTGGTGGGCACAGTTCCACTAAAAGAAAACTTAAAAAAAAAAGCCTTTTTTTTAAAAGAGCTTTTTTTTTTTTTTAAGTACCAGGGCAGCCGTCAAACAAACCAAAACTAACCAATTGGACCTACTTTAGTTACGGATGCATGTGCCCACACCCACAGATGCACACAGATGAACGTACAGGAAGTTCAGACAAATACGTTTCTCACTTTTATTTTGTCAACCACTTTTGTAATAATGAAGAAATCGTTAAAGTTGAATGCTTATTTTTTTTTTTTTTTTTTTGTGATGGCCTCCCTTCTCCCCCTTTAGCCATCCT